TTACAATGATTATTGTTTTTAGTATAATATTATATGTATATTGATAGTTATAATTATTAATGTTTTTATTCATCTCCAGCCACCGTTAACTTTTTAAAAGCGAATAATTATAATAAATTATAGATAATGTTATACACATACTCATTTGTTTTGACAGAATAATAGTAAGGAAATTAATACAGAACAAAATTAGTTTTTTAAAAAAAATTTAGGCAAGTCTGTAGGTGTCGAGTGTACCTCGTCATTTAAGAAGTCACTACAATGTATGTGTTAAATTTGAATCCAATAATACATAATTCGATACTAAAAATTATTCTGAGAGAAGACTGTGTGGGGCAGCCTGTATTACTAGCTAAATTTTATATAATAAATAAAAATGTAATTAATTTTACTCTTAGTAATACGAAGGTTTGAAATAATCTTTAGCAAAAACGTTGCATTTGGCACTGTTTGTATAATATAATACAATAATATAAGTTAAAATTTTTAAATATCTACTAATAATAATTTTATATCCAAAAAAAATAACTAAAATGTCTTTGCAAAAAAACCTGTGTTTATATATTTTTTAGTTACATTTTGAACTACTTATGAAGGATCTTGTATTACATTTTCAAGCCTCAGATATAAAATTCAAAATATTATAAAATGTTTAACTAAAAAACAATTTATCGTAAATTATCATGAGTTTGTCGAATTCTATCAAAATTTGAACTTCAAATACTTTCAAAATAATATTCTGATTGTATTCTTGTATTTTATTAAGGGCGTTGTATTCGGCGATTTGCTGTCCTTGTCTAACACACGTGTAACATAGGAATAACGACCTTAGCGCCTGACAAAAATTAAGGTACTTCAAGTTGTTCGATTTAAAAAATGTAAAGATGTTTGAATTGGTATACAAGCTTACTTTGCATCGGTCGAAGTATTTTTTCAATTGTAACAATATTTTGATGAGAATAAATATTTTAAATTTTATAAAAAAAAAAATTTTGATTCGACCGATGCAAAGTAAAAACTTGTATACCAATTCAAACATCTTTACATTTTTTAAATCGAACTATAAGTAGCTTAATTTTTGTCAGACGCTTAGGTCGTTATTCCTATGTTACACGTGTGTTAGACAAAGACAGAAAATCGCTGTATGCAACGAATTTAATTAATTTAACTAACTTATAATTAAATTTGTATTAAACATGCAAGGTATTTGACCATGCAAACATTTTTTATTCATATTTATAGTAAAAACTCTAAAAAAACTTTAAATCTTTAAAAAATTTCAAAAACACACATCGTTGTGAAATCAATACGTTTATCACTCCGCTTAGAATCTAAAACATGTTTACAAAATGCAAATACATTACGAGGGCCCGCATAAAATTACCTCCATTTTTACGCCCGAGTTGAATAATTAAGTTGTTAATTTAACAATTAATGTCAACCGTTCTAAAATACGTTAATAAATTAAAAGCGTAACCAGCTTAGTACTTATTGGTCATTAGATACGTTTTCCAAACTTGTATAAACAAAGAAACATAATATATTATTTATATGAGTTGATTGAAGTTGTATTAATGATCTTATGGTTCAAACATTTATTTTTTGTGTATAATATCAAAACTTATAGATTGTGTTCATTATGTTGGTTAATTTTGTTGCTTTTACATGATATCCTAGGAAAACTTAAGTGAGGGCTGTTAAAACAATGCTAGAAATTTCAACTATATTCTAAATTATTATTGAAAGTAAATAATACACAACCACGTATATTGCTTCTAATTTATATATATTTATTGGTATAGGTTTAGGTACTACAATAATTAAGTATATCTACGTTTAATTGGTTATTATTTTCGTAATAACTTTCTTCAACTAATTTATTTTTCGATGAATCAAAATTGAATTGTCCTACATAAAAATAGATTTCTAATAATTGCTATATAAGTGTGTATTATAGATTTAAAATACCATAGTCTTTGTAAAAAACACGAATTGGCATGTTTTTAAGTTATTTGAAACGAAATTAATTATGATAACTCTCATACAGTTTCAAAAGTATTTAGTGGATTTCAACAGCGTAAAAAAATTATATATATAATATTAAAATAGATGTAAGCATTGATAAATCTAAAAAAACATATATTTTTGATTAGGTATATATATTATAAAGTCAAATATAGTAGGTAGGTACATAATAGTATAATGGTAAAATGTAGACTTTAATTACTGCAAGGGGCAGTTCATGCAATATAAATACACATTATACGTTTATACCTAATAATTTTAAAAATGTATTTCCTAGTTGATACAAATAACTTGGTTTTAAAATTTAAAATATAAAATCACAAGCAACTAATTTATTTCAAAATACCTATTCTAAAATATAAATTTTGAATGCCTATTAAAAAGTTGATTATCTGTTTATACATCATGGACGTCTAACTAAGAGTTTATATGTATAATATACTAGCTGATCCCGTGCACTTCGTTGCCCTTAAAAATTTGTGATTGTTTAAATCTTTTTGGATGTAACTCGCAATAGTAAGTGCAATTCAGCCACCCCGAACAATGATACATTAAATAATACATTTGTCGTATTATATATTATTATACACACGCCGCCATGATGCCGATAACGGTCGTACATCACAGTCGTAGGCATTACGGACATATTATACTAACTATTTCTCCTATGATCAATAGGCAATAGCCACCATTTTCAATAAACAACAACCAATAATTATTATTTATTATTATAATAGTTTTAAAACCCATGGCAACTATTTTTAAACACACATTTCTAACGTAAATCTCAAAATCCCAGTTTGAGCACCTCCCCTGGGTGATCAATTCACTTTTTAAATTAGTTTATATTCATCAATGATAATGTCGGCTTCTAATGGTAAAACAATTTTTAAAATATGTCCAGTAGTTTCGGAGCCTATTCAATACAAACAATCTTTTCTTTTTATAATATTAGTATAGATTATCTATACAGTATATAATATAATTTAGGTAGTAAATTTGTTATTACATTTAAAAAAAAATATTAATTGTATAACTTTACAAATATAATATTATATTTCTATTAGCTCTATTATAATATACGTATTAATTAAACCTTAAATTTGTGAACATTATTAATTACTCCATACATTTTATCGTTTGACCTGAATATTTTATTTCAAAAAGTACTATTATAAGTTACAACGCATTTTTGTTTCTATAAATATATTAATTATATCCACTATTAAATACCTAATTTTAATAATATTTGGTTTTGAAAAATTATATTTAAAATGCACTATATACGAGTATTTAGGCATTTATCAAAGTACCTAATTTCAAAACTTTATTATTTTAAATGGAAAATAAATGTTTACAGTTTACATTTTAAACACTGGACACAGACACTCAGTGTTATTATGATACATTCCTACAATCTACATTTCGTCAATAATTAAATTTTTTTCTTTTTGGGGGGAGGCGGTTGAGGCTTCAATTACTGTGGTTATTTGCCCGTGGAACTGTAGGGGGATGGAAAACGTGTGTGTTTGGCAGATTTTTTAGTGGGCACCCGTAGGTATCTGCCATGCTCGGGGGGGGGGGGATGGCGGCACTTATTCTCCGGACACCTTGACTTGCCCGAAGAAAAATGCCGCCCTTGGCCGGGAATCGAGCCGGCATCGACTGCGTTTCAACCGACGCTTTAGACCACTCGGGCACTCCGCCCCCCCCCCCCCCCATAATTTAATTTGTATGGTAAATTATTTGTATTTAGCAAATTAACATTTAAAAAAAGTTGAAATTCTGCTTATAGGCGTTATTTGTTGCTATAATTATATACTTTTGTATAATAATATACACATGTACAAAACAACTTGTTCTTGCAATATATTTTCAATGGAAATACTATATAACACCTTTTTAAAATTATAATATGGAAATCGTTATTTTTGATTAGATTTCAGTACATTTTCACGAGCGTTAATGATAATTTTTAAAATCTAATGTAAAACAAGTTGTGTTTTTTTATTTTGGAAATTGTTTTCATTATTAAAACATGTATATATAGTATTTCTGTAAACCAGTCAAGGCGTCACATGATGTGTTTTATAAATTCACAAAATCGTCTTCTAAAAATTTTACTTTTCTTAAATCCTTAAAAAAGTTTCAATTTTTTCTTTATAATTAGTTATCAGATTGTTTTATTGACATGTTGTTATAATAAAAATGTTTATTAAGTACAACGTTTGTACGTGTATGTGAGTAAGATTTTCAGTTAATTAATGTATTTATATATTAATGGTAGTATTGTATAAACAGTAATTTTTTTTGTCGTAAACCGTCTTCATTGTTGCCTCCCAGATGGGGATTGTTCGTGGGTCAAGATTGATTACCCAATTTAACTTTTCCGAATCAAAAATTAGGTGTATATAATTAAGTTTGAGATTTACCGAAAAGGGGTTGGAACGTTTCTTGTCATGTATTTCTCTTAAGTAAACTACCCTTTAACGATTATAAGTTAAGTAATGGAACATGCAGTATCCAGCAAATGAAGACTGAGTTATTCACTATGAAATTCGTTTTCAGTCATACCAATATACTAAATAAGCAGCAATACAATTTATAATATTTAAGATTCTACTATTCTGAGAGAAAATGGTCAGTCAGAAGACGAAGCGTCGAAACATGGATTCGGTGATAAAAATATAATTTTATTGTTTATAGAAAATGAAATCACACACAAATATTTAGAACAATATTTTAATATATTCCTTGTTTGCAGGTGAAATATATGTAATGTAATTATATATTTATATAAATAAATGTAATGCTATCTATTAAAAATCATTATCATAGTTACCTACCTATATTATTAAACAGACAAAAATGTTAACACACATTTTAATAATTATAAATTATACTATTATTTTTTTTTTTTTGAATGAACAGTTAGTTTTTATATTATAACTAAAATGTGTATTTAATTTTTTCAGGTGTAACGGGGAAGAAGCTAAGGAGGTGGTCATCGAGACGGCGCTTGGCCAAAACTTGTCCGGTGATTCCGAATCATCGTAGTTGTCTCTAAATAACCCTTTCTTTACTCCATCGTATTATACTACTGCCAGTGAGTTCGCTAAAAGATAGGACGGAGGTCCCTTTTTACGTGTTTTATCGATGCGCTTAACAGCATACGAGACACTTCCAAACGGAGGGCACGATAAAAGAGCACCCGACCTATTCTTTTAGCAACCTCTGTTTATCAATCATATCCGACTCACGGTCCATGATACGATAGTAATGACATGACGGCGTGAATTCAAAAATAATGAAATATATTTTAAGTGTCCGTCGTTATTGAAAACTAGTTCCTCAGAAAAATAATGTGTTATAGGTGTACCTATCTATAAGAAAATATAATACAAATTATGAACAAAAAAAAGTGTAGGTAGTTTGTAACGGCAAAAAAGTTTTTGTTCCCACCTAAAATAGCCGATAAATTTGTTCCGATGCGATCAGTAATTTTCTAAATCGATATCATCATGAACTGTAAATTGTCAACTGTTATTTCGGGAAAAACAAACAACAGGGGATTTATCATTACTTATTTTATTTTTTTTTCGTTTGTTGTTATACTTTCCATTTTTTTATTTTCTATACATTTCCTACACTTTAAAAGTACCTATTCAATATATAAAGAACGCCCGTTGATATCTTATATCAATCGTAACGAACGTAGTTACGTGTTAACAGTATATTGTACTATTATTCGATGTTGGTAGTTTGATTCAAAAATATTCTTCCTTATTGAGAGACCTATTCAGCGACTTAAAAATAATAATCCACCAATAGGTACGTGGGTCGGCTATCGGTTATTGATAGGCACACATTTTTTTCTCCACGGTATAAAACTATAAAACTAATCTCCTATGTTATGTTGACTATTTTATTTAAACTATTACAAAATTATTTTTAATATTATTTGTATCGATCATAAATGTTTATTCCTAACCTAACCTTCTGTACACTGTACAGTACGAATTATTCACGATTCAACGCTAAAGGATTACGTGATATCGTGCTAAGCATAATATCAAGGTGTTTATGATTGTATTATTTAGGGAATATTTTCTCATAGTTAAATAAGGCATATTTATACATTATTTTTTTAATAATTTATTAATGTTATTTATAGTTGTATTGATTTAGATTTTATTAATTTATTATTTATTTTTTTTTAATAAAATATACTTTATTGAATAAACCATGTATTCATTTATGTATTTGATCCACTAGTTATAGGAATATCTTATACTTATATTTTTAGATTCTGAGTGGAACGATGAATGTATTGATTTTACAATGATGTGTGTTTTTTTTTATTTTTGTGTCTGTGTACACGATAAGTAGTCGAAATAATGTTTTGATTTTCAACTTCAGTATCTTATTCGATTGGAAAGTGAATATCGTTGGTGCATTCTTGAAGCCAAAATTTAAAATTCCCATAATTTTCGAAAGCGCCAAGAAAAACAAAAGAAAAATTAAGGAAAAACGGGAATTTTAACGCAAAATCGATTTTTCACAAAATTGAATTTGGTTTTTGGTGTAACTTTAAAACAAATGACCGTAGATACATGATATTTTCACTGGTTGTTTATATTTACATTTTAAAACACGATACCATTTTCAAAATTTTTTTGATTTATATTGAACTGTTTAGGGACCTTTTCATTTTCCATTTTTCTAAAAATATCAATAAAAATTTATTTGTTAAATTTAATAAAAGGCTCCTAGTATATTGTTTCAAAGGCAAATGAAAAATATTAAAAATCCTTCTTCATAGTTCTTTTTTTTATAAGCATTTAAAGTTCGAAAATTTACAAAATATGGAAAAATCACGAAAATTAGCAAATTATTTTGAGTTAAGAATTCGTAAATTTTTTTTTTTAAATTTAAGTTTTTAAAATATAATACAAGATTCCTTAGAAGATTATCTACCTTTATCAAAAAAAAAAAAAAAAAATGTCTATAAGAAAGTCAAATTAAATTTTTATGGGCGTTTGAAATTCACATTTTTACAACATTGGATATTCACTCGATTTCTCATGTAGCGATTTCCTTATTTTCTTGTAATTCAAAAACGATGTTTATATTAGCATTTCCTATACACCATATAATTTTGAAAATATTATGACTCTTTAAGCTGTTTGTGGACATTTACAGTTTTCAATTTTTTAGTTTTTTTTTCTATAAATATCAATTAAGTTTTATCTGTTGAGCCAAAAAGTGTAAACATTTAATACAAGGCTCCTGATATTTTGTTACAATATCAGTTAAAAAATATTAAAAATACATAAGCACAATTTTTTTTTATAAGCATTTAAAGATTAAATGTTCACAAAATTTATCAAATTTAAAATTGCATAATTATTTTATAGTTAAAAATTTATAAAATGTTCAACTTTTATACCTAAGGATTGAAAATTTAAAACAAGATTTCACTTTAGTAGTTAATTCTGTTACCAAAAAATCTAAAAACTGCATTAGCACAGTTAATTGTTATAGTAATTTTAAGTTCAATTTTGGACGAAATTACATATTAAAAACTTAGAATAACTATTTTAATTATTTTGTGGTGGTTATATATTATCTGGAAGTTCTCAATCACATTAAATCTATGAAGAATGTTTTATGATTATAACGTTAAGTACTAAGGTTGTGATATGATTAATTTGGAATGATGGTCAATTTTTTTTATACCTATATTTAATGTCTTTTACCTAGACGAATACGTTCCGCTCAATCGCTTTCTTATACAATGATATTTATATTGAGTCAAATTTATACATCATATACGTCCCAATGTAACCTACTGTACAGCGAGACTTTTTTAATTTAAAATGTTTGTAATATAATTTTAAACTAAATATCTGGTAACGCTATGAGACATAAAATTTTACCGGGGATTTTGATGTGCAAGCAGTCCGATTTAAGTGCGTGTGTAATATCATTTGTTCGGATTTGAACTTATAATCACAGCCATAAGGAGGGACATTGTACCACATATATAATATAATTGAAAAACAAAACGAACGCTTAAAGTTAAAAATTTTGCTTAAAATGTTGTTGGTCTTTATTAATTATTATTGTTATAATATAATTAGTATTTGATTGACTTTTTTTTTATGATGCATTTTTCTTTATTTTTTTATTTTACATAAAGAAATCACTTATTAATCATATTTACTAGCATACAATTTGTGTAATTAAATATTTTGAAAATTGTATGAAATAATAGTTTATTTAATGTTTAAAATGTCACTTTTAATTTATCTTATCACTGCTTGGTAACAATAAAAATTTAACTATTTTGTCATTTTGATTTCTGAAATTAACATTTGTTTTAATATTTTTAGTTTTGTTTAAAAGCTGTATTGTAAAATATCAACATTTTAATAACGGATTTCATTGTAGGGTGTTTAATGGTTGAGTTCCACCATAAATATTTTCATAACTTTGATAAGATAATATTATTTAGAAACAGGTACCTAAAACCAGACATATATTTAAGTATGTTTATTATTTTATAGTGACAGGCGTCAGTTAAGTCTTATATTATAGCTTATAGTTAACAATGTTATGTAGAATATACCTATAAGAATAAGGAATAAAATAAAAGATTAAGCACTGTATTTCAAAAAGTCTGCCTTACTCTTAAATATTATGATATTAATACAGTTGTTAATGAAAATGTTTACAACCTGTCAAAATGGCTAGCGTCCTCTAACGGTTGACGTCGTGACCATCGTACGTTTCACGATTAATAGAAGACCAAAATATAGTAAGGTGTAGGCATTTGAGACAAAGTATTTGTATTTCATTATTATTTGATTGGCGAAATGTTCTAAAATGATTACGATGATTAACTCGTCGTAGTAATAATTAAACAATACTGTAAGTTTAATTTTAGTTACGTGTTGCTTTAACACACCTCATCACGATCCACACATTTTGCAGATTAGTCATATCGTATTTATAGTATTTATGTTTTTTTGATAACAATACGACCCAAATTTTGATATTTGACACAAATGTCGTACTTCTTATAGAATTTTCTGTATTACTATATATACTTATATCTACATAATATTATTTTTGCATTAAATTATTCATTAAACAATACCTATAGTAAATAAAAACGAGCGGAATTTAATTAAATTCTATTGCTTTCATAACAATAAGACAATAATAATTATAGGCGGATATTGACTATACATTTTCTATTTAAATAATTTTTTGGAAAACTATTTATACAGCCAATATTCTTATTTGTCACTCTGAGTGAAAAATTATTATTATATATTTATGAATATTTGTGACAATTTCAGATTAATATAATATTAGGCTGATAATAATCGCATAATATAATATATTATATTTATACTTCTTTATATATTAATTGTATTATTTGTATTTTGATTTTATATTCCTATTCTCATTGACCATTGTATACAAGGTAGAGTTATAGTTTTCTATTAAACTTTTGAAAATTAATTTGCCATTTGGCCATTTGAGTTGAATACTCTCCAACACTGAACATCGAGAACATTACGTTATACAAATAATAAACTGATCACTTTTATTGCAATGTCTGATCTAATAATAAATACTTTAATTTGTAGTTTGATAAGACTGTTTGTGGAGACATGGCTTGAAAACCAGTAAAGAATTTAACATTTAACGTTTAGACGAGTAAGTTTCTACACGGTGATAATAGGTATTCGGGTAAGTCCTTCATAGCATATTATTGTCATCTATACTTGGATGCCAAATGTGAATGTTTCTACAAGGCGCAAATAATACAATATAAATACTGTACTGGCACATATTATGCATAACTATATTTTTATTTTCATATCAAATGGATAAATCTAACTTTGCTTTAACATGAACGGACGATAACACACTGTTTAAAAATTAATATAATATTATTTAGAAACAACAACTGTGGCGCCGGTGTAATATTATCAAAAATGAGATGGTCTATACGATATTTATTATATAATATTATTTATATAATTATTACGTGCCTAGATATTATTATCGCATAACAAATACGCGTACAACGATAGGGTTTATTATTGTACGGCGAAACGACGTCCCAACGTGCGCGGTGTCACTACGAAGGGAAGACGCGTGTTCGTCCTCGGCAGTAGCGCCATGACGCACCACCGGGTCGGATGTTAGAGCAGCACGCCACGCTCTCAGGTCGGAAGAGATTAAAGTCACGCCGACCACGCGATCCGTCGCTTGTCGAATAATGCAATAATTGTCTTGATCATAATATTGCGTCGGAAAGGAGATCATTATATCATAATATTATTTTATCGTATCGGAAATAAGGACCAGAGATCAGACGTCTTGACGTTTTGGACGGTTGCTGTGTAACGACAGTTCAGCGCAGAATAGTGCGAGGCTATCTTTACGCGGACTTTGAAGGTAATAATATTATATTATTGTTAACTAATATTTTGATTATATTAAATGCAAAAGAGATTTTCGTTACTCTAGTATTATAATCTAAATTTAAGTAGATTTTACCTTACAATATTTCAATTGTGTCCATGGTGACTTGTGTTGTCATAATTACATCAACGATGTTTAAAATTTATAAACACTTGATTCTAAAAAAATAAACGTGTACTGTTCACCATTTCATTCAAATTTTAATAAATGTCAGATGATACAATTCAGAATCGTACAATTTAAATATATCATAATATTCCGATGTCAATTAAAATTATATATTCGGTACCTAACCTAACTTAGGTAGATACTTAATAAGTATTGAAAAATATAAAAACTAAAAAGTTATTCCAGATATAAATTAATATAAAATATTGCGTATTCAACATATTATATAAGTAGATACAGCCATTTGTACTGTATTATTAAATTAAAAATAAATTAAAATATGCAAGTTTTAAATTGCATTTTTACTGTGAACTATTTGATTACAGGCAATATTATATTGTCATAGCGAAAGAAATATTGTTCTATGTAAGACGATAGTATTTTTGTTTTTATTAACTTCAAATATATGTTGATACTAACTGATACAATATGTATACATGCACACAGTACACTATTATGTACCTATAAAATGTTAATTTATTCTAATCTTAAAATAACTTCTATAAATTATTATGTTTAAATTTCAGGAACTAGAATAAAATTGTTAATTAAGTGATGTCAAATTTTAAATAGGAACATTTTACCCTAGGTAAAACAGATTTATATAAACAAATATGTATTATTTTTATATTTATGGAAGGTATCTATCGTAAAATTACAATATCAATTAAAATTGTTGTGAAAAAATCAAAATACAAATATAAATATAAATTATGTATTTTGTAAAATAATTGATTAATACTGAATGATTATGAAACAATCAATAACAGAAATCATATGTTTACATTTTAAAATTAAATTGAATAATGAAAAAAAACCGTCTTTGTTTGCTATTGATAAATGTCTACAGCAGAGCTAATGTGTTACATAATTTACAAAATTAGTAAGTACCTAGGTGTAAGAAAGGACAAAGGATTTTTTTTCTTTGATTTGTATGGTATAAATGTTGCCGCATGCTTATAAATAAATAAAACGGTTAGGTTACAATGGTCGTCTTATAAAAAGTTAATTTGACTACTTTGTGTATGTAACGAGTTAGCACTGTCATCGGTTTACGACACAACTGCATGAATAAAGTAAATTGTTGATATTTGTCACGTACCTAAAGAAAAAAAACATAACTACATTTTTGAAAATTGCACAATAAGAAATTTATATTCTTGAACAATTTACATTTATAATTTCGTTCATTATTAAAAAATCTGATGTTCTAGAAATCTTTAGTATATCGTATATTAATATATTATATGTAAGCTATAAAAAAATAATTAGGCATATATATCAAATTTATCATAACATATAATATTATTATAGATTACAGAATAGAGGATGGAAGCTAGATATGTATTTATTTGATTTTAGAATTTCTTGTTAGAACTTGAAAAACACGGAGCAAAACATTTTTTCCCTAGAAATATTATATTATATTATTACGTTGGAGGATGAAAGGCGGAGACTACAGTGGTGCAGTTGCGTATAAACGTCCGCATTCTTCTATATGTATTGTAATAATATTACCAAGATAATCACAATGTATTTTATTTTTTTAACATAAAAAATTGCAGATAAAATGCCGTTTACTTCCGCATTAACCAATTTTTTTCATTTTTTATTACGTATAAAATATGTAAAATTATTCAAAACAGTCGATGGAGCAATCAGAACTTTGTGGGCGATTTATTTATGTGGTGCGCATCTCGTGTATTGCAGCAGAAGTGCATATTATGCGCATGCATGTCTGCAGCAGATCGACTATATTCTGATCGTACTATATTAGTACATTATAATATATTATTATATTGTTCATGTGAGTTTCATTATCACATATTAAAAGATCAACTTCTATAATTGACAATTTGACAATATTGCCAATTATGTAGTTTATTTTTTTTTTTATTTGTTCAACACATGGGTTATTTTAAATAGTGTGAGATTTTTGATAACTAATCGTTTATAAAATAAGACGTGTTCGAATATTTCACAGGTGAAGTTTGATTGACGTATCTTCGATTGAATTAATTAAAAATAACAGCCGCCAAGACTTATACATAAATACGAGGTTAATCATGTTGTTTTATATTATTAAATTTTCTAATATTCAATGTATCGAAAAATTTTCAGTGACAAATGAATAAATTATTGAAGAGTTTATAAATATCTCGAACTATGCTAGTTGTTATATTTTATATATGTTATATTATGTAGGTAGGTACTATTATTATTTATTTATCAGTGGATTATTTTTATTTTTAACGAAACGTGTATCTTACATACTGAGTGATTCTTTTATCATGTATCACTCATTATTTCAAAAAGTTGTAATGTTTTTGAAAAAAAATGTTTCATGGTTTCTAGTTGTTAAAAAACAAGAATTAAAAAAAAATTTTTTTCTTAGTATTTTAATACATAAAAATTGAATTTAGGACTTGTAGTTCACGAGTTATAAGCATTTAAAGTTTAGATGAGCGGAGTGCAGTGGTGCATGATATCCACGCAAAATTTTAGTCCACTACTACTCTGGTCATCTAAACTGTAAATACTTAGCTCTTATAAAATACTCGTCCTACATTTTTATGTATTGAAATGCTCAGAAAAATATTCTGCTTTGGAAGATGAAATTAAAACTGTATGTTGTCATTCGAAAAAGTAAATAACTTAAAATATTTAAAAATATAAAGTTTTAAAAAATACTTTGTTTTTCAACAATTTGAAACCATGTAAGAAATGTTTTAAAAAACTTTAATAATTTTTGAAATAATGTATGTTTTACGTTAAATGAATCATCCTGTATTGGTTTTACGAGTTAATAATGTAATACGAGGTTGTTATTAATACAATATTTGAACTATATCTCTTAGAGTTCACTTCAGTAGTACCTATAGAACCTTTCCTATCAGGCTACAAATTAGATAAAGTTCACATAGGACTATAAGATATTCTGAGAATGTCGATATCATCTTACAAATTATATGAACGTCGAAGACACAGTTGGGAAAATTAACTGACAAATGTTCTTTAGTGTCCTATTTAGGATTGAAGTGCACTCACTATATACATTTTGTATCTTTTCTAAGTAAATTGATTAACAATTAGCTGAGAGACTGTCTAGAACTTTGGCAGTGGATTGGTTTCAAGATCACTTGGACCCCAGCATTAAACTTAAGGCCAAGTCGTCCCTTAGAAAAGCTATCTATAGTTTTTGTATTTGACTAATTTCCATGTAATAAGTCATATATTTATTATTATATAACATAATATTACCCACGTAATATTTATTGTGCATAATTATTTATAAAAATAATGTACAGCCTTTGTATCATTTGCGTTGCAAAGATAAATTACTGTCGTCCATCTATACGTCTTATTAAAACAAAAAATCTAAAATATTGTTTTTGGGCAATATTTTAGTAGGTTTTTTGAAGATTACATAAACACTACATGATAAATCGAGCTGCTTTTAGAGTCGTTATTTAAGTGAGAAATTTGATCATTGCGGTTTTGAATTCAAAATAATTATTCAAAACTACTTTACTTTGGGGTGAATGAAGCATTCGGGGGGCGTTCTATATCTGCAGCTGTATTTGTTAGTTGCTACTGTTGTTCGTCTAAAACAGCGGCCTACACTATAACGTTCAGGCAACTTCTGGTATTATCGTTGTTATTTGTGATCTTGTTTACTCAGAATATAAAAATACAATAGACTAGATACATATTACAGTAATTTTAAGCAATATGGTAGAAAATAGAAATCATATAGGGTTATTGAAGAAGGTTGAAGAAGATTGATGTTTAAGATTAATCTGGTACGTGGTACTGGTTCCGTTGGAAATAATAGGTATGGTTGCCAAAACGGAAATACCGGTTGAACATCAACAACGAAAATAGTACTTCCGGCCCGGAGAAGTGTAGTCCGAGGTCGAAATATTATGTGATCAAAAAAGGCCTCTAACACCACCAAACTACGGAAACGGGCATGGTTGTACCGGAAGTCAGTTTTTATGAGTTCCAATGCTTGGGGGTTGCAGAGTGTACTGTTCGCAATTATTTATTTATTTTTACTGTTGTTTTTTTCTACATAATGGTTGATGTGTTTGGTTTGTAATATTTCTGTACATACAGATAAATGAAGGGATAAATATTTATTAGTACAATTTATTGTTATATTATTATTTATTATGATAATTATTTATAACAATAACTCATCATAATATTTTATTTTTTATAAATATAAAATCACCCAAAATAACAGCAGAATAGAAAAAAAATCGACACTAATAATATTATTGCCAAGCATTGAATTTTGTGTTTTGATCAAAATATGATCATGTATTATTCGATGCTAATATTATTCAGATAATAATATATTAGTAGGTTTGGGTCTATTTTATTTTTCTACAGTTTCGAAGAAAAACGGAATTTTTTACTTAATTAATTTTTGAGTTACAACGTAACGATTTTAAACAGATAGCATTTCTTTGAAAAAAATATGATCTTATATTTTGTATTATTTTATTTTTCTATTAAAGGATATACAAATGTAGGTTACCTAGGTACCTGGTAAAACCCTGATTTACAATATTTCTGTATATAACTAATTTAAAATTAATTATTTATTGATGGATTGATACTAAATAAGTTACTTTTTATGCCATTGAATACAAATACATGGACAATGTATCAGTTACAAATTACAATAATTGAATTATGTTAATAAAATATTATAGTGTTAAGTTTTTCAATTTTTGATCAATAGGTACTAACCTATATTTATATAAGACATCTATCAAGACGTGTATTAACGCTATTATGGATATAATATAAGTTCTAGTACCTACGTGTAGGTAGGTACTAAGTTAATTAGTGTTTTTAATTTGTATTGTATACATTTTTCTCTTAACGTGTATATAAATGCATAGTGTGAATATGAATTTCTTTGAAATGTGGTCATTAGCATCATAATATATTTTTTCTTTTACGATTCCATTAAACAGTTGTTTAAAGAAGCCATTCTTCATACAAATTAAAAACAGATTCCTCTAGCTGATATACTTTGGCACAATAACTATACCACAGCGAGATTTAAATGTAAAACATTTTGAGCTTTAAGTACGTCTCAGCCAATCAGTTTAAATTGTAGAATAACTATAAGACATGATAATAATATAGTGCAAACAAATGCAAGGAAAATATAATATTTAACATTCAACTAATTCCTAGGAAACCTTTAGAATCTTTTATATATTTTGTTTTTTTGGGTAATGAAGGTAAGAAATGAATAATTGTAAAACCTTATTAGATATTTCTAAGAAAAAAGGAAAATTCTTGATCCAACAACTCTGGCCATATTGCTTAAAATATAAATAAATTCTGGTCATAATAATAATAACGAAATCAAGTTATTATCATAAAAATACAAAGAAAAAGTCTTTATAAGCTTGAAATAAAATATAATAATATTGGCGATGAAATCATGAAGATAATAAATAATAACACACGGAGGCATTAACGTTTCTTACCGAAAAAAAATACGAATCCATTATAAATACTATAAAGAAAAGAAAAGTTGGCAAAACGTAACACTCCATAATAGCATATACACAATGTATATAAGACTAATTAAATACAAATTAAAATACTAACATCTATAAAGATTTTTACTAATTAAAATAACTTTATTAGGAAATAGAAATGCTGCTGCATTTTTAGATAACATAAACATTGTCTGGACATTTTACACGTAAATATATTTAAACTTAAACGAATTAAAAATTACGAATTTCATTCACAAATTATTTTTATTATTAAAATATTTAAACGATAAAATCATAGAAGATAAAAATGTCACTGTAAAATTAACATCTAAAATATATTATTTTAAATTGTATTTAAATTTAAAACACCCTTCTATAATATGTAAACCACCCTATTATATATAAATACATCAACTACTTTTTTAGGCTGTTATGAGTGTTTCCAACTTCCTGAGTGGCCCTTTTTCATATAGGCACAATAATTGTGTTTGTATTTTTTTATACAACTTGTTTGAAAACTTTTTTTATTTAGTTAATCTATTATGAACCGATCGTGTAATGACTAACTGAAAAGCACTGTACCCGACTCCCGAGGCTGCGATCATGTTCATTGACAAATATAACGTGTTTATTTTTCTTTGTGAATTTGTTTTTACTTTATCCTATACATATTTTATATCACATGAATAATATGTGGTTGGAATGGTAATAATTGTAATAATAAAAATGCAATTATGCAAGGTTATTTCTGTAAGCAATATTCATAAAGTTTTTTCATATTTAAAATTTAATAACATTAAATCACGGATGCTGGCAATACTGCTATTACTGATGAGTTGCCGAGAGTAATTATTAAACAAAGTTTAAATCTATAAATTAATAAAAAACTATTCTTATTATTTGTTTAGTGCCGAATAAAGGTAAATTATGTTAAAAATAAATTATTCATTTATGCGCTTAAATCATATTACTACACAGTTCCACTGACGTGTTTAATCTACTTGATACAGCGTTAATCCACCAATGTCTCCAATCGGTAGAAGTGGAATTAATTCTGATTGATTAGAAATCTAATTAAATGCCGACGTTGCACTAAGGGGGTCGCATATTATAAACAGATATTTCGTCAACTGCACCGTCCGATTAATTACATTTGATAAATTATATTGAGCAAGAAGAAATACTAATTTATAAATACAAAACCCCCGAGGGTAGAAATATCAATATCATTATACGATTTAATTTGACCTTATAATAATAATATAAGTCGTAAAGTAAAATAATATTTGATCGTATTCATTTTGCGATATTATGCTATAATATAGTATACTGGTGTTTATTTCGTTTCTGAAAGTTTTGTGTCTATTATTTTATCGTCCAATCGATTATCACTATTGTAAATAATTGTAATAATGATAATTATTATTCTTCCCACATAATAATATCCTGATGGTACCTATACCTAATACCTATATTCTTACAGTGATTATAAATAATAATATAAAACTCAATAAATATGAGTGTTTAACATATAGAGCTACTGGGTATAGAGTAATCCAAAACGTTCCATATCGTACGAGAAATTTCGATTTTTTGGTTAACTATTCGAAAACTTATAAAATAATAATATAATTTATTATCATCGATAACATACTCGCGGGCGTAACTATTGATCGCAAACAAAATACACAACATTTTATTAATATGACGTTCAGGAAAATATCGTATTATGTGCGTGTGAAAACGTCTCGCACTGGTGGCGGCAGCAGTAGCACGTTGACCGCTCTTTTGCTGTCACTGTCGCTATATTCGTCCTCTTTGGTGACCGCGGCCGGTCAACAGGATTCGCGGGACTGAACTGCTGTCGCGCTGGTCCGCAGCCGCGGCCGAACGACAGGATTTGTGGGACGAGCGCCTGTCGCGCTGGTCCACGGCCACAACCGAACGACAGGATATGTGGGACGAGCGTATGTCGGTACTGTTGGACACCTATGCTCGCGGTACCAGCACGGCCGCCGCCGAAACTCTGTGCGCTTCTCACCGGGACGCGGTGCGTTCCGTCGTGACCTTAGCCCGGGACGGCAGGAAAGACGGCGCACCGTGCCCGACAGTCGAAGGCCTGTGGCTGTCCACAAACTTGGAGACGGCGTTCGATATGCGGGCCACCAGCATGCCAGGCAGGCTTGACGTTCGGGCAGTCGGCTACAGACTGGACGGGTGGCGCAGAGTCGCTGTTCGGTGACCGGGGCCCCGTCACTGCGATCGTCAGCCAACCGGCCACCGGTACCACGGTCACGTTTGTCGGACACTGTCGCGCCTCCCACGGAGTGGACACAATGACCGGTGCGTACACCATATTTTTGATTGGTTGTGACTTGGGAGAGAGAGTGAGGCGAGGGGGATTGGCGTTTGGTTCTGTCGGTGAGTTAATTAAGTGTTGTCATTTAAGTCCATCGATCAGTAAAGGCTAAGAAAATAAAACGATGGAAGCAAAAAAAAAAATAATATTTTTGTACAACTAAAATTAATAGTTAGCCCCCACAAATGATTGTGTCCTAATAGAGTAATATTATTATTTTTACGCTAAACTACGAGAGAACTCTGGTTGAGAGCAAGTTAGGTCACCGATCGACTCTCCCGTCGTGACATATTAAATATTACGGATAGATATTTTATACGTGCAAGTTTAACGAAATATTACCATCTATTAAAAAAAAAAAATTGTACCGAATTATATAAAATATTATTTTAGACACAATGTTTCAGTATTGAGCTATATTATATTAATTTAAGTCAATATTTACAAAAGATTTTTGTCCTACGTATTTAAATTATTTACTCTTTTTACTCCTCGTCTATTTATAATATACCTATCGGTTATCAATTGTAATATAATGTATTAAAGGTATATTATATACGTTCGTATGAAAAACCTTACAGTCCACAACAGAGATGCGTAATATATAAAATATTATGATAACACAACAAATATGTAGATTACGAAATGGTAGACAAATCGGTTGTAGAAAAAAAATGAGAAAAAATAAGAACACTTAACCGATTTCAACAACTACGAAATGTTAAACGGCAATAATATTATTACAATAGCATGCAAGAATGATGTGATAAGAAGATGAGCGGTGGTAGAAATAAACAAAATTATGAAAAATGCTTCAATAGATAATATAAATGGACGAAAACCATGTTTAGCATAGAAACCTTTTACTATCTCCGTCTTTGCAGTCGGTCAAATCCTGATACTACTCAGTTATGCTAAATACTGAACATTGGTGTTCAGTGAAAAATACCAGAAAACAACTCTCTGAATATCTTGAACACTAAAATTACATTAGGAATTTTTTTTATAAACTAAAACACGAATTGCCTAAACATTTTAAACGGAAATATAACTTTTGTACGTCAATTTAGCGTATTTAATATAATATGCAAATCCGTTGATTAATGATAAAATACTTTATATTATTGTTCATTAAAAAGATGTTTTGCTAAAGTATAACTTTTATTGTTTGCGTTACTGCAACGATACAATACACAGAGTTGCATAAAGAAAAATTATAATATGAATGTTATTGTAATTTATTGGAATATTAATACATTTTAATTTATTCGATTGCTGAAAATGGTCAAAAATAATTGCACATCAGATAATATATCTTTGCTTGAGTTATGATATATTTAATTTTTTATAAATTTATATATTTTGCAGACGTCCCTAATTCAACAATAATAGTATTTTGATCACACGGCGTTATGGATAGGCTATTTAGCTACACATGTGTCCATTTTCTTCTGGCATTTCTTACAATACTACCTATATCGATTTATTTAAATAATACGATTTTTACGTTAAAGAGAGACTTTCAGGTTCGTCTTTGACGCAAACCTGTAGTTTATTATATAAGTAGTTTAGAAGACGTGTGGTCGTATGGATTGCTGCAGAGACACATTAAAGTACGATAAAACTAATGTAAAATTAGCTGATGGAAGACGGGAATGTTTGTCTGTGACAAGTGAATGCATTTAACTAAGAATTGAGAATTAATGAGAATGAATTAATTAGCATATTTATAATTGACGGATTAATGAAATACCTATGCAAGTAGTTCAAACACTTGATTTTTAAGTTATTCTCCTTATTCTCCGAATTGAGATTTTATTGGCTTACTTTCCAAACTTCTCAGACCCTAGTCGTGGAAACCAGCCCAATTCATATACTCCTAATGTTTAATCAAAATAATACTTTTGGTGTATCTTATTTTAATACTTCAGTGTATTGTAAATAAATATACGATCGTTGTAAGCCATCATAGAATATAATTATAAACTGTAAATTCTAGGCGTATGGGTAATAGCATCACCGGAAAAGAATAAGTTGGACCATCATTTGGCCGTACAACCAATACCGGATACTTTACACCGACTACAAGTCGAATAGTCAATAGACAAGCATTGTATCTTATAATAATATTATAAATTTATTTTAGTTAATTTTGAATGTTCCTACACAACACAACTGATAGTCCGTTGACTGCAGTTTACGTAAATTATTTTGTAACCATATTATATTAGTACATTTATTTCTAAAACAGATAATCGGAACTGATTTATTAATAAAACTCGTATTTTACCCGTTGTATTGTTTTAAAATTATTTATTAATTTCTGACCCCCTTTCGGAGTATGAACCAGGGTTCATCTGGTTCTTTTATAGTTTTATCCCATCGTAGTTCATAATAAAACATATATTATAATATTTTTTGTTTATGTCCGCGGGATGTGCAAAAAATGAACACTGCGTGTAAAAAAAATATCATAATAATAATAATAATAATAATAATAATGATTCCATAAAAGACTTGTGTACATGAATACTAAAATTTGCGTTTAATTTATACATGCATATTATGTAGTTTCAACTGTCATCTGCATGATCGTATCAATGTGGCTGATAAAACAGTATTTTTCATACAAAGTTTATTTTGAAATTTGTTTCTGTACAAAGCGAAAAATGCGAGCTAGTCGTTAAACATTAGCCGTAGCCCGTATTCTAATCGATTATTATAAAGTTAAAAAAAAATTAGATTATTTTAACATATTATAGGTGCCACGCCATAATACATAATCGTATGGACTATATAATAATAATTATGATAATATATTTTTATGCGATATTTATTTTTGCTATTATTACAGATTACAGAACGTATTTAAATTCAAAGTATAAAATATCAATTTTCAAACAATACTATATAAAATATGTTTATATTCTAAGAAAAAGTAATTGTATTATGAATACTCTTTAACTTATAATATTCTTAGATTTGTCTTTGATATTAGAAATTATAGATATATTAAAATTAAATTGTTTTTTAGATTCTGAGTTAAACAATGAATGTTTTGATTTTGCAATGATGTGTGTTTTTTTTATTTTAATTTTTTAATTTTATATTTTTTTTTGTGTCTATCATCACCTTTTATTACAGTAAAAATGCTTGGATTTTCTTCAACAGTATCTTTTCTGATAAGAAAGTGAATCTAGTTGGTACTTTGGGGGGTCAAAAGTAAAAATTTCCAAGTAGTTTTCAAAAGCGACGTGAAAAACGAAAAAAAAATTAAGGAAAACGGGAATTTTAATGCAAAATCTGTTTTTAGAAAATTTATATTGGTTTTTGGTGCTACTCAAAAACAAATGACCGTAGGTACATGAAATTTTGACTGAATGGTTATATTAGCATTTTATATACACCATAACATTTTCCAAATATTTTGAATTATTTTGAGCTGTTTACGGACATTTTGAGTTTCCATTTTTTTTAGTTTTATTTCTTTAAATATCAATAAAATTTTATTTGTTGGTTAAAAAATCTTGAAAATTTAATACAAGGCCCCTAGTATATTGTTACAATGATATTTGAAAAATATTAAAAATCCTTCCTCTCAGTTTTTTTTTTTATAAGCATTTGAAGTTCAAATATTGACAAAATACGTAAAAAATTATTTTGAGTTAAGAATTCGTAAAAATTTTTCTTTTTATATCTAAGATTTTAAAATGTAAAACAAGATTCCTTATAAGATTATCTACCTTTATCAAAAAAAAAAAAAATGTCTATAAGAAACTCAAATTAAATTTTTACGAGCGTTTGAAAATCAAATTATTACAACATTGGATATTCACTCCATTTCTCATTTAGAGATTTCCTTATTTTGTTGTAATTCAAAAACGAATAACTGTAGATACATGAAAATTTCACTGAATATTTATATTAGCATTTCCTATACCCCATATAAGATTCCGCGTAAGTAGTTAATTCTGTTACCAAAAAATCTAAAAAATACATAAGCACAGTTTATTTTTATAGTAATTTTAAGTTAAAATTTGGGCGAAATTACATATTGAAAAACCTAGAATAAGTATTTTAGTTATTTTTTTGTGGTTGTATAATATTATTCGTTTGTACTTGAAACTTCTAAAGTATACTACTATGTATCTATGATAGTATCACGGTTTGTTGTTGATGTATAACGCGTTATAATTACCTAATGGATATTGTGATATGATTAATTTGGAATTTATTATAGGTACCTATTATAGGTCAATTTTTTTTAATACCATAGATATGTATATAATATGTCTTATACCTAGACTGACATACCGTCTCCGCTCAGAATCGTTTTTCTTGTACAATGATATTATATCATTGAATTCAAATTGAATACCAATAGGACCACTTGTAATCTACTGTATAGCAGAGCACCTTTTTAAACTTAAATATATATTTTAAATGGAGATAAGGCAACTCGCTAACCTACAATAGTATTGAATTATTGTTCTTATTTGGTGGTTTTTAATAATATTCCGATTTAAGGCGTATTCTGACGGCAATACAAACAACACTGTTGTACGTAATTACATATGTCTAATTCACAAGGAATTTCTAATATAACTTCTATATCTCTTCACCATAATATTACAGTTTAAAATATTAATAATTAGTATTCTAATAATTTTTTTTTTTAAATTTACTAAAATATTTTATAGTTAAGAAACTAAAAAAATCTTAAGGAATATAATTTTAAAATTAAAATGAAGAAATATCGAACTAAATGTATTTAGCATGAAATTTTATTTATGATAATGTAGTAATGAAAAAATACTATACTAGTCTTATACCTATACTTCTCTAAACCGATTCGTTTAGAATTTAGATAAAGTGTGTTGATT